AATGTGATGACTATAGTTACTGTTGTATGGTATAACTGAGAGTTGCTAAATGAGTAAATCCTCAAAGTTCCCATCACAAGGAAAAAATTAGGGGTTTTAGGGGGGTAACTATATGAGAGGTATTGATGTTAATTAAACTTAACTAGCTTCACAGTATATGTATGTCAAGCCATTATGCTGTACATCTTAAGCTTATACAATGCTGTATGTCAAAATTTTTTTAAAACTTGCAGAAATAAATCTGATTCAATTAGCCATTCTGTTTCATTTTTTAATTCTTCAAAGACCTCCAAATCACATGAAGCCCAACCTTAGTATCTGGCCAAGTTGGTAATGAAAAAAGATCCCCCAAAATTGTGAAACTTACTTTGAAAAATCACTGGATTAGCAGCACGTTATCAAGCTTACATGCCTCATCAACAAGATTCAATGCTCAGATTTAAGCAGAACTACTTACTTGACTGACTTGATGAAGCTGTCACAGAAAGAGTATGTCTCAATGAATTATATAACACACAGAAAAAGACTGTAAATTAGGAACTGGAGATATTTTTTTTTTAAAGCTGACAATAGCTCTTAAATTTCAACAAATACAACCTGAGCAACTCTTTCAAATAGCAGTGGCCTGTTTTTTAATTTTTCTTCTCTTTCTTCTAGTTCTCTTCGGTATTCTCTCATCCTTTCCTTTTCACCCTTTCTAAAATCAAATAAAAGGAAGAGAATTTTAGAAAGAAACAAGAACCTTGCATATATATAACATTTAGCATCTTTAGATAACAAATCAGAAATTAAATTATGAGCACAGTTTATAGTTCACCACAATTCCTTTTCTAGACTGGTCAATTTTTATGGAATGCAAAATAAAAATCCTAGGTTCTGAGAGCACACATTTTACAACCTGGGAACAGTTTAAGTACTTTGAGGTTTCTGCAGTCTTCAGGACAGAATGTATTAAAAGGCTTCAAACTGGCCTGAAAGATGAATGAATGCCCTCTTATCTCATTCATAGGTGTAAAAAAACAAGAAAACTTGGTCCAAATTAGGTATCTTCTCTTTAAGGAGATTCTTCTGAAACCAAGACCTTGCTCTTCTTTCTTCCCCCTAAAGGAGATGGCCTGTAGATTGGTGGCAAAGTTAATTAAATGGGAGCAGGTCAGGGGAGAAATGGGAAGTAAGGGAATATAACATAGAGAAAGGAACAAGAACCAAGATACATAAATTCACAGTAAGTGTACTCATTATTTGGACAAGATTCTATAATGAATTAAACTATGCTATTTTCTCTGTGTAAAATATACTAACTCTACCAAGATAAAAAGATTTCATGGACTGGAGAAAATAATTATACTATAAAGTGATAATTATGCTTAATCATATGTAAGTTGATATGAAAAATCCAACTTATTTTCTAAGAGTGAATATATATTTCTAAAGATTTTTTTGCTCAAGTTCATCAAATTAAGTTCCCTCTATCAATTAATTACATTGACATGCATTATTAAGTATACAGAATATACATTATAAAGGAACATTATATATAATATACATTTAAAAAGAAATATAACTAAAAGCAAATACAGATTTTTTTGTACTTATAAATCAGATTAAAATTAATAAATCATATTAATTACCTGGTTTTGGAGAAGATATTTTACCACTTAAGCATCAAACATTTTTATGTACAACATAAAAATGCTCCTCTGGAACACTGATTTTCAAACTCTGCACTGCAGAATTTTAGTGTTCTGCAAATATTTTTATTCATTTATATTAGAACTGTAACAAAATGCAACATATACCACTAAACACATGTTAATTGACATCACATAATAGATGGTGTCAATCTGTGTTACTAGATTTCATGCAGTCTTTAGAATAAAGCTGTTTATTAAAGAATTATTCTGAAATTACATGGCAAGCTATTAAAAAGAGCTTTATCTGTGTGAATCAACTTTTTCTCAATGTTGTACTGTGCAATCAAAATGAATACAAAGAAAAAGATTAGATGCTGATAAAAGATAACAACTATTAAGTATGGGCACAATACAAAACATTTCTGCTCATCAACATGGCCTCATGGTCTTCACCATGAGGTGAGAATACATGTTGTTGATTCTCACCTTCTCACCATGTGGGGGTGAGGGAGTGCAAATACGTGTGTGTATTCTGAGTATAAGTAAGTGATAGTAACTTGAATCCAGAAACTAAAGTACTAATACTATTCTTAATCTGTTCATATATTGGTATCTACTAATTTTAAAAAGAAAGTTTGAAAACCAATGATCTGGAGATTCAGGATTCTTTCATGATACCTGAGAGATTTTATTCTGGACTTAGACATTTGAGCTAAACTTTGATGTGAGTCATAAGCCTTAGCCCGGGTTGTCAGGAGTTTCTGCAATTCTTTCATTCTTTGCTTCTGCTTAGTTAGGATCCGATTTCTCTCTTCTTCCAACATTTTCTTTTCCTCAAGTGATCTCCTGAAGGCAACAAACTAAGGCTTAATTCACTTTAAGCCTATGAGAATGTTATTTAGCAGATTTTGCATGGGATAATTCAAAGGTTGAAAAAAGGCAGCCTTTTGAGAAGGATCTGCCTGTGCATAGGCTGACTTTAATGTTTGCGATCCCCAATGATTCATAAAATGAAGAATACACTCATTTCTTAAACACCTTCTGGCAAAATGTTTTATATTATAAAGTAAAATATATTACCAGATATCATAACTTTTTTCTATTTTCAAAGTCACCAACATCTCACCAACATCAAATCAACAGAGCTATATATACTATGTCAGCAACGGTGAGTCCATCGGTATTGCATCCTAGTTATTTACCTTGTGGCTCGCTCTCTTCCTCTGGAAGATACTGTGGGCATTGGAGGGTTGCAGTTACAAGGCACAGGCTTTGCACTTGCACTTCGTACTGGTAACTTGTGCCTTGTAGATAGATAAGACCTACGTGTTTCTTTTAAAATGTCTTCATCTGCTTCTATGTCTGCCAAAATCTTCTCTTTTTTAGTGGATGCACGTGAGGCTGCATGAGGATCAGGTGATTTACAGACTGTTGGAAGTTTTGGATATTTCTGTTCTGAGAGGCATTTCTGATATCGCTCAGGAAGGTTTTCAAAATCAGCAGTCTGGCACCTAATCTTGTATTTATACTTCAACTTTTCAGCCTGTTCAGGACCTTTGAGCCTATGTGTAGCAAAACTTCTGTGATTTGTCCTACAAGGCAAAGGGGATGGATCCTCTGAGAGCTCAGGGGCTTTCAGCTGCATCCTAATGTTTCTACAGAGCTCATCTTCTTTCAACTTGTTATTGGTACTTGAACCATAAGTAGATCGAGGTATGGGTCTGGCTTTAAATCGATTTTTCTTTTTAGACTTAAAAAAGTCTCTCAGCTGTTTTTCCCGGATTGCTTGCTTCTGTTCTTCTCTTGCAATAAACTTAAATGGCTTTTGTGAAGCCAAAAGGGCTTCTTTGTTTTTCTCCTTCCTAGATCTCCTCCGTTCTTCATTTTGCTTGACTATATCATGATAAAGGGGTAAAAAGACGAATGAAGGAACTGGATTGGCTCGGAATTTTTTCTTACACTCTGAATCTTCCTCTTGTTTTTTGAGCAGTTTGTGAACCATTTCCATATCTGATTTAGATTTCATGTTCTCTTCTTTTTTCTTCTGTTCTCTAATCATCATTTGAAAAGGCTCAGGTACTGTAATCTTTGGCACCCATTCTTTTGGTTTCTTCTTTGTTTTTCCAACTGCTGGGAAATCAGCATCTACACACTGAATATAATCTTCAACAGAAAAGTTTGTCCACATATTGTTGATCAGTTCCATAGCGTAGTTCATGACTCTGCTTTTCTCAGGGTACTCTTTTTCTAAGCTGGGTAATTCATCTTCAGAGGAAGACAAAATCGAGGAGGAAGACTGACCTAAATCAGGCTCTGAAGGCGATGTCATTAACGAGACATGGTGATAAGAGCTCTTTTCTGATACAGACCTAAGGAAGAATAATAATTATGTTATAATTTCAGTTGTAACCAAACATAAGAATAAAGAAGTTACATGTTTTCTAAGATCAAGGTATAGTCAGAAGACAGAAGCCGGACAAGGCTTGTAAAAATTATCACTTTCATTTAAAATAGACCTGGGAGATACCTATAAATTATCTAATTCAACTCCCTTATAATACAGGGGAGGAACTTGTGACAGCAGAGGCTCCTGGTCTAATCTCTAATGAATTCTCCACACATTTTTCAGTCATCATTTTAAAACATACATCAGATCACATCACATCCTTTTTTCCCTGATTTGTCATTGTTACAAAGACAAGTCTAGATTTTAAAGCCCTTAAAGGCTAGCCTGACTACCTCTGCTGTTTCACCTCTTGCCTCTCTCTATACCCAATAACCATTCTTAAGTCATACCCAGTCATGACTTCTCATGCCACCATGACTTTGCACAGTCTTTGTTTCCTGTATCTGCTGGAGCTCCTCCTCCTTAAGACTGAACTCAGATATGACACTTCAGGTAAAAAATCCCTGCCTGTGTTCCTCCACTGAGTTTCCAGCTGGTCTCTGAGTCCCTTGAGGGCATCATGATTTTGACTCCTCAGTGCCCAGGCAAGGTCTGGCCCACAGATGGGTAATCAGTGCCAATGAACTGGATGAGTTAAGGGATTTGCTTCAAGCTTAAAAACAAGCAAATTTATAGCAGAAATGGGTCTTGAAATGACAAACTACTTTGAAAAGTTGAATCAGATTTATATCTTAGTCCTGAACTCCTTGTACTATATATACCTAAATGAGCTCATGTTAACCCACATATTATAGAAAGCTCTTAAAATTAAATTTTACTATTAATCACTTATAAACGATCCAGACTAAACATTCTGATACATGCCTACAGTTCTAAGAGAGATGGGTTGGAGAGAAAAGACCAAATGGACACCAAATGACCCTCAAAGCAAAAAGCCACCTATAGGTTGATAAGCCATTAAACATTTTGAATATAATCTCACTTTCATATATCACAAAAAGTACAAAAGGATATTTGAGAGAAATATCAGAAATTTGTCCTGTACTTTAAGCATACATTTTATTGTACAGTCCACAAATAACATTATATACACACTTACCTGGAAGAGACACTAGAAGCTTCTTCTCTGATGATCACTGGCTGAGCCTCCTTTAAATTCAGTTTATTTTGGTACATTTTCTCTAACTTTGCCATAGTTTCCATGTGGGCCGCCTTTAACTCATCTAGTTTCCTAAAATACTCTTCATTAGAATGGTAAATATCAGAGAAGTCCATAAAGTCCTCAGAGCTTACACATGTTTGTTCATCCACCCCAGAAATGTTGGTTTTAAAATCAGCCTGGTAGGAGGGAAAAACCTGTTATATGGTGTTTGTAATTGAAAGAAAAATTAAGTTGACACAGACTCCTAATGCTGCTTCTTAAAGAGTCCACTTAATTAGGTTATATGTTACCTGTGGGCTACATACATTTAATGGATTATACATTGCTCATGCACTATGTACACTTTCACCTAATGATATTTTATTAAGAGCAAGAGAGAGAGACAGAGACAGAGAGACGGGGGAGGAAGAGGCCAAGTTGCCAGAAAATAAATGCTCTTTAATCCATTTTATAAAAAATGGTTAGGTTAGGATGGCCAACATCCAAAAGACAAGAAACAACAAATGCTGGCAAGGACACAGAGAAAGGGGAACTCTCTTACACTGCTGGTGGGAATGTAACTTAGTTCAACCATTGTGGAAAGCAATATGGAGTTTCCTCAAAAAACTAAAAATAGAAATACCATTTGAAGCAGTAATTCCACTCCTAGGAATTTACCCAAAGAAAACAAGATCCCTGATTCCAAAAGACCTATGCACCCATATGTTTACCACTGTACTATTTACAATAGCCAAGATATGGAAGCAACCTAAGTGTCCATCAATAGATGAATGGATAAAGAAGAGGTGGTATATATATATATACACAATGGAATATTATTCAGCCATAAAAAGAAAACAAATCTACCATCTGCAACAACATGGATGGAGCTAGAGGATATTATGCTCAATGAAATAAGCCAGGTGGAGAAAGACAAATACCAAATGATTTCCCTCATCTGTGGAGTATAACAACAAAGCAAAACTGAAGGAATAAGACAACAGCAGACTCAGACTCCACAAAGGGACTAGCAGTTAACAAAGGGGAGGGTAGGGGAGGGTAGGTGGGGAGGAAGGAAGAAGGGGATTAATGGGCATTATAATTAGCAATCACAATACAGGTAGGTCACAGAGAAGGCAGTACAGCACAGAGAAGACCAGTAATGAATCTATAGCATCTTACTATGCTGATGGAAAGTGACTGCAATGGGGTGTGGGGGGACTTGATAATACAGGTGAATGTTGAAATCACAATGTTGTTCATGTGAAACCCTCTTAAGATTGTATAGCAATGATACCTTAATGAAAAAAGTAGAAGAAAAAGAATGGTTATATTCCCAGATCATGTACTAACTGAAACACTATAATAGGATAAAACCAAACCACCCTTTATAAAAAGCCTCCTTCTGAGGTGTACTTTTTAACTGAGATGAACACCACAGCTCCTCCTGCTGTAAACCAACCGACCATAGCCTAGTGCCCTCCCCAAGCTGGGCTCCTGCAGTGTGAGCCCCAAGGCTGTGCCATTGGGATAGAGGGAACAACGTTCTCAGTGGCTCATCAAGGAGCCAGGGAGAAAGAAGCCTTCCTAGATGTTGGGAGGAAACCTCAAGAGGGTGCAGGAGGGGGTAGTAGGGATTTTCAAAACAACCGTTGCGCCGGGCAATGAGCTATAGCTCGTAAGGGTGACAGGGACTACGGGAGTAACAAGAGAAGTACAGTACTGCTGACCCGTGAACAATGTGAACATTAGGGGCACCAAACCCCATGCAGTTGAAAGTCCACGTGTAACTTTTGACTCCCCCAAAACTTAACTACTAATAGTCTTCTGTTGACTGGAAGCCATGCTGATAATGTAAACAGTTGATTAATTCCTATTTTGTATGTGTATTATATACTGTATTCTTACAATAAAGCAAACTAGAGAAAATAAAACATTTTTTCAAATCATCACAAATCTCCAAAACTTTTCCAATATATTTATTTTAAAAAAATCATGTCTGACAGTGACTGCATTGGGGTATGGGTGGGGACTTGATAATATGGGTAAATGTAGTAACCACATTGTTTTTTCATGTGAACCTTCATAAGAGTGCATATCAATCATAACTTAATAAAAAATTTTTAAAAAATCATGTGTGAGTGGACCCATGCAGTTCAAACACATGCTGTTCAAGGTCAACAACATTGTATAGTTAACTACACACAATCCACTTACTCTATATACAGGTCATGCCTGGAAGTGTCTGACTAATCTTTTGACCTCACTCCTTTCACATACCTCTTTGTTCTTTTAACTGAAGCAATTAAAGAGCTAAATCTCATTTTCTCCATAAATACACACATCTTAAAATTTTCTCGGTTGAGAAACAGTTGAAATTATTTATAATACTATGCATAAAAAGCTGCTGATCATGGTTTTAAATTTAACCTATGCCTGAAATACACTCAAAATGAAAAAAATGTATTTTCCATAGAAAATTAGAGATCCAATCTTATAAGGCTCTAGAAAATAAATCTGAGTAGCTTCTCCCAACAGGAAAACTCAGAAAAGTCAATTGCATATAATAGTTATAGATACATGTGTGTGTGTGTTTTTAATGGGCTAAAAACAGTGTACAAGAGGCCAGCCACTGTTGTACCAGTTGGGGTAACCTAGAAAAAAAACAAATGAAGGAAAATAAGCTCTATTGTTTTCTTCAAGAGAACTGGTGTGCAGTAATTATTATCATCAAATCTATGACTCAGAGGATTGCTTTCTGTATGTCATAAAAGGATTTCCTGATACCTTCTGCTGTTTCAGCACGTGCTCCTTACCATTGTCTTCTTACCTGTGAGGTGAGTACTCTGTTAATTTCCCTATTCATGAAATATTTAGAGACACCCTGATTCAGCTAGCTGCTGAAAGATACAAATCAGATTTTAAAAAAACCCTCCACTTTCAAGGAACTTCCAGCTAATTTAGGAGAGGATATATATATATATATAATCAATAACAGACTTTAAATGAGATAGAACTCCCAGTTCCTGCCCATGAGCTACTTCTAGTGATGAGTGACAATGTATGTCACAATATCAGACACCATGACAGCTCACAGAAGGAATACCTAATTCTGACCTGGGAGAAAAGAAGAGGCAGAATTTCCATAGGTGAGCCAGACTGGAAACATAAAATTGGATGAGGACAAAGTTGGAGAGATCAGGGAAGCAAAGGTCCTAGTTAGATGTATTACAGGAGCAGCACCAGGGACAAAAGAAAGGAGGTTCCCTTGGGAGATTTAGGAGACTGAATCATCAACCCAATAATGCCCTGGATTGTAGGCAAGAAAATGAAAATGTTTCCGTTTGGAGCACTGGCTCTATGGGTAGATGATGAAGCTGCGATTCATCAGCATAGGAAATACAGGAGAGCAGAGTGTTTTTAATGTCTGTCTTAGACACACTGAGTTTGAGGGGACAGTAAGGCAGTCAAATGTCCAGGTAACACGTAAAATATCTTTGAAGACCTGATAAGAAGGCTGGACTGGAGATGGAGATACAGAAGCTACCAGTGCACACAGAAGGGGGTAGGTGGGGCCTCAGATGTGGACAAGGCTGCCTAGGGAGAGTGGGTGTAATGAGAGATAACCTGAGGATGGAAATTTTGGCAAACACCAACATTTAAATAAGCAGTGAAAGAGGGACTAAGATGAAATAGAAAGTGGTATTGCAAGATAAAAAGACCAAGTGATAAGGTATTCAAATGAAGGGAGCTTTTGTGTGGTTTGGAAGGGAAGGAAGGCTTCCTGGAGGATGGGATATTTGAGTTGAGTCAAAGAATGAAAGAATCTGAAGGATTAGAGCAAATATAGGGGGAAAGAGGAAAAGGGCACTCCAGACACAGGAAATGACATTAGCAAAAGCAGTGAGTAGAGGTTGGAGACATGGTGGAGAGCCAGGCTCAACCTACACAGTTGCAGGATAAGAGAAGAGTAAAAATGGCATAAAGCAATTTGGGAATTGGAGCCTGGAAAGGGAGGTTAGGGCAAGCAGGAGGTGGTTTCCATTCCATACCTACTACTGGCTCCTGATAACTCACTGGTCAAGTGGTTCCAGCCCCCTAATGGCCCTTTCAAAGATGAAAGAGTTGGATGGCAGTTAAGTAACTTTAGAGTTTAAAGCATCCTCATGGGAGGAGAAAAGATGGCAGCTTGAGAAGTGAGGCAGAAACCTCCTACCAAAACCACATATAACATTAAAATACAGCAAGGACAACTAATCCTGAAAGGGCAACGGGAAAGAAGACTGCAACAGATGGCCTACATCTGGGAAAAAGAGAAGACCTTATGGAAGAGGGTAAAGTAGCAAAGCTACAATCTGGCAGGTCACAAGCCCTCCTCCCACACCAGCTCACTAGCAAGAGGAAGAGAAATGGAATGGGGAGGGAATAGAAGCCCAGGAACGCTAAACACCCACCTCTGGAGATCTGCTCTGGGAACACAAACCCACATTACATGGTGCTCTGGAGATTAGTGGGATTGGAAAGAAAACATAGGCAGAATACATGGAGAGACAGAGATTCCAGCCACTTGTGGAGAACAGATACTCGCTCTGGAACAAAAGAAAGGTGAGCACTTTGAAAGACTTCCTAATAGTGAGGGGAGCACTAAAGGGGCAAGGATTACACAGAGCTTGCTGCTCAGAAGAAAGGACAGGTGGACAGAATCATCCTGGCACACTCAGCCCAGCAGGTTGGGAACTTTGAGGAGCTCCAGGCAATGCATCTCCCTGGCTGGCAATTCAGTGCTGAGGCCCCCCACTGTGATATGCAGCCTGCCACTCCTTCCTCCTGGCAGGCACCAGTTCGCAAATCTGCTACCCTGGCCATTGTTACAGACCAACTAGAGGGTGGCCCTGCCTATGGCAGCTGCAGAAGCTCCTCCCTGCACACTTGGCCCACTGGCCCTGGCAGTGGAGACATGCAAGGCAGCCAGGAAGCAAGAAAGAGCTCTTGCCTCCCAGCAGGCACAGACACTGCTTACCTGTGACCCCTGCCATCGCACCAGGTGCTGGGCAGCTCCAGAGAGTCGAGATTCTGGGCACTAGAAGGCGCCACCTACACAAAGTTATTATTCCATAGTAATCATTAGAAATATGAAACAGCAAAAGAATCTGGTACAAACTAAAATCCCTCAAACACCAGAAAGAGGACAAAATGA